AAATGGTACCTTTCACACTCCTGAGGGAAGCGTCTGGCGGAAAACTTAACACAATCTCCCCACCATCTGTGAGGAAAAAGATGAGAAAGGGGGGAGAAAGAGAAAGAGGGAGGAGAACGGACGAACGCGAATGGGGTAAAACACTGAACAGAGAGACAGGAACGAAGGAACGGAAAGAAAATTGAGTATTATGAATGCAAAAACAAAAGGTTGTTCTTGGTTTTACCTTTATGAGACACCTACCATTCCCTGCTGATCTGTAAGATGCAACTCGACCTCGACGAGATACGTAATTAAACAGCCATTTAGGCTTTTATATAAGTAAGGTAATAGGCGAACCGAGAAGATTAGAAACTAGAAATTGTTTTATAGTAGATAGACAGCGAGTTATCAAAAATTTAGACACGATTTATTTTATGCAGATAATATAAAAGGGACAGCATTTTAGGAATAAGTTATCATATCTTTTTACAAATAACCACTTAAAGCTCATTATAACAACACTGATAAAGTAATTCAAGCGAGAGGGATACATAAAGAGAAAGATATACAATCATGCACACGCCAAAAGACACAAAACACGCTGGCACAATAAAAAAACGAGTTTATGAAACTCCAAACGTCTAAAAAGAAACCAAAAAGGTGTCCAGCCTTAGTACACACTTTCTTAAAAAAAAAAAGGAAAGGAACCTGCTGCCATTTATAAACTCAACCGTATGCAGACTGCAAGAACCACAACAAGAAGGAAACGAGCAAGACACGCAAATCGAACTAAAACCACAGACATCCTTATATATTTTTGTTTTGTTTGTTTTTCGTTCCTTCAAACCGCGACAGGAGAAAGGATACTCACCTACGGAAGCTCGTGACGGCGGCGGGAGAGGGGCAGGCTGCAGGATCCTCGCGTGGGCCCTTTGAACGTCCCTGAACACTTCCTCCTGACTCCGGTCCCCAGATACCTGCAATAAGGATCCATTGCAATCGGAAATCAGGGGGAAGGGGGGGTGATGGGCAGATATAGGGAGTAAAGTTTTTTCTTGCAATTCTCGTATCCAGATTGCAAGATAGAGTCAAGGGAAGGGTTGTTAATGTTCGTAAATAAATCGTTGGACACAAGGGCGAATAGACTGTCGAACTTCTTAGGGGAAAGAATGGGTTGTGTGACTTTCATAAGGTAGATCTACTTCAAATGACTTATGATACGAATTATTTTCTTGTTATTAAGCTTTGATATTGTCACCTTTTATTTTTTTCTACTTTTTCTCGTTTTTTTCGTGTTCCATTGGTAATGGAAGTCAGTAAAAATATAACTGCTTTCAACTCGAGCAGTCGAGCGAATTGTTATTGTATTGTTGATGCATAGAACCTGTGCAACAAACGTATGGTACGTCTTTACATTTCCAAAAGGTGTAGACTAAAATCAAAGGCTTTTTGTCTCTAAATGTGAGATAGAAGATAGAAGAAATACAATGTGAATGCATACAACAGCAACGAAGAATCAAGTGGACTATTTTAGAATTAAATAACTTTGTCAATTCAGATAAAAGTTTTCACTCTGAATCTGGCTCACAATTATGATTAAAGAGATGAATAAACACATGATGGTAATAAGCCCTTATAATCGTGTTTAATAAGAGATGTGCGTGAGTGTGTATGTATGAAGCATTTGTGTAAAATTCTATAAAAGAAATTCGAAGAATATATACCATATCACCACTGGTTTGGAAGAGCATGTAAGCTCAGTTTAATCTTTGATATATAAACTAATAATCTCCAGAAGTTAACACCAAAAATAATTCACATTATCTATTATTAGCCAATAAAATTTATAAATGAAGAAGAACAGAAATCTTCAGGGTATTCCTATAACCTGGATTCAGGATGACTTAAATACCCCCATCCACTCTAGAAACGAGACCCGTCCACTTGTCCCTCGTCGACTCACCACGTAAAGAAGTCCCAGGTTATCGTAATGCTCACACACAGGCAGGACTTTGCTGTGGAAATCCGAAAGCTCCTTCCTGGCAGCGTCTAGCATGAGTGTGCCTACCCTGGCTCCTGCTTCCAGTTTGTTCAGTAGCGTCGATTCTCTCCAGTCGAGCAGAATGGCGCCGTCTATGTTCCCCAGCTGTAACATTTGAGAAGAGTAGAGGTTGCTCTTGTTATGTATGTATTTCATAAGAGGTAACAAAAAAAAGCATCGGATTTTGTTTTTCTTTTTTTCAGTGTATATATTTTTAAAGATATTCAGATGTGTGGGTCATGCATTTCTTTCCTTCAGGTCATAGAAGGGGAAGTAGAATTTAAGGGATTTTTTTTTTCATTATAGGCCTTTGGCTTCGCATACTGTGTGTAATATAACGAGTAAATGCAATAAACAACCAGGGTCAAATAAGTCCGTGAATGCAATAAGGAACCAGATGCAAAGCAAGTGAAATCAGGGTTATTAATACCGTGCATAGGATTACAATAGATAATTAACTGATGCCAAGAATACTTA